AAGAAACTATGTTTTTAGATGCCTTACTTGTTCATAAATCAAGTCTCTACCCCAATACGTTTACTTTTGCCATCTGCACCCCTCCTTTGCCCTTAACTTGAAAGAGCAGAGGAGAGGAGAACTGCTTTCCTGAGCCTTCATCCTGTAGATGGCCAGGCACATGACTCATGGATGCCAATCCACAGCCAGGTGGCCAAGCTGGACTCCAAGAAGGCGTGAGACTAGTTCAGTGGGTCAGCTCAGCAGAGCCGCCAGGGCACTGCTCTTGAAGTCTGAGAGCAGGAATGTCCCAAACCCAGCCTCCAGGGCATGAGAGAGCAGCACTCGGGAGCCCTGTTTTCCCTTGACAAGCCACTTGGGCTCGAACAGCTCGAACTTCCTAGAACTCTTCTTGAATCTTAAGTCTTTACTCCCTGCTGCATCAAGCAAGCCTTCCTCCTCTTTGTTCAACAATGATCTTCCAAAAAACCCTGCTTGCTCCCATGATGCCCAGGATGGCTTTTAAGGGGCAGCAACAAGTAGAGCCTCCTGGTATATTTAAAGGACTTAACCATTTATATGAGTTTGCTCAGGCTGCCATAACAAAATATCCCAGACTGGGGGGCTTAAACAACAGAAATTTATTTTCTCACAGTTCTGGAGGCCAGAAGCCTGAGATCCAGGTGTTGGCAGGATTTGTTCCTTCTGAGGCTCTCTCCTTGGTTTGCAGATGGCCTTCAGCTTCCTGAGTATTCACATGGTCTTTCCTCTATGCCCATCTGCTTCTTAATCTTCTCAAAAGGACACCAGTCAACCTGGATTAAGGCTCATCCTTGTTTTACCCACAATTACATCTTTAAAGGCCCTATCTCCAGGGGTGCCTGGGTGGCTCAGTTAAGCCTCTGCCTCTTAATTTCGGCTCAGCTCATGATCTCAGAGTCCTGAGATTGGGCTTCAGACTTAGGGCTTCAGGCTCCATGCTTAGTGGGGAGTCTGCTTGAGGTTCTCTCTCTCCCTCTGCCCCTCCCCCCCACCATGCACGCACTCTCTCTCTCAAATAAATAAACAAATCTTAAAAAAATAAAGGCCCCATCTTCAATAGAGTCACATTCTGAGGTACAAGGGCTTAGGACTTCAACATATGAATTTTGGGGGAACACAATGCAACCCACCACACCATTTTGTCCCTAATTGCTCCACAGCTTGCTAGAGTGCCTCAAATTCCACCCAGGGTTTTCCTCTACCCACAGAGTAGAGCTCAGGCCTCTTCACCAATTGGCTCTCCAGGGTCTTCAGAGCTGACCACAGTGATCCTCTCCGGCGCCATCCTCTACCAGCCCTAAAATCAGTCTTACCACCCCCCAACACTGCTTGGGGTACTCTCCTGCTCCCTTGAAGGCCTGCTTCCCCACTCACCAAGGAAACCACAGGCTCCTGCACACTTCTGCTTTTACCACATATGTTTAAACCACATCAGCTCTAAGTTCCTGGAAGTCAGGGGCATATTTTTCATGGCTTGTAGCCCCTTGGTTTCTTTTGAAACACCAAGTCTGAAGAATTTCCTAGGTATGAGTCCTATTGTATGTAGGTCACAAGCATGGGACCTCAGTTCCACAATCAGACCCACTGAGCAGGACTCCCTTAAAGAGGATGCATGGGAACCACTTATCTAGGGATGAGGGTGGTGGCTAGGCAGCTTCTAGGACAAGGGTTTCTAGAGGCCAGTGTGCAGTGACTTGTGACCAGTGACAGTGAGATCTACCTGGAGCCATCGGCAGTGGGGTTTGGGGTTTCCATAGGACAAACCAAGCCTGCATCTCTGGCCTTCCATAAAACCTGTGAGTTTCCTGTTATCTTTCATAAATTACTTTCCTGCTCACACAGACTAGAGGAGGTTCTGCTGTTTACAGCTGAGAACTCCGTGACTCAGACAGTCCTGTTGATGTCCTTCCCACTGATCAGCACAGTGCCTGGCAGAGAGCAGCCACACGGGGTAGAATCGCACCTGGGTTAATGCAGGTATTCCAGAGCAGGAGAAAGATCCTGACCTTGTCACTCAGTGCCATGGTTAGAAAGAGCTCATCTGCCACTCATCAGGTGCTGGCAGGAAGGTGATTCTGCTTTCCCACCCCCTCACTCTCTGCCTCCCATCCCCAGGAGGCTGAGTGATGGGGAAAGGATGTTGTGAGCAGGGGTGAGGGCTGCTCACAGGGAGTGGGGAGAAAGGAAAACAAAATGAGCAGCCCTCCCCAGATGTCTTGCAGCCAGCTCTACCCAAACCTGCCAGATTGATTTTCAATGTTTGCTCCTATTTCAACTTCCATCTTTATAGACTGAATGGGTCTTATTTTTCCCTTTATTTTAAAATGTATTTTAGATGCACACACACATGCCTCTCTTCCACCTGTCTCCCAGTCTGTCTGTTCCTCTAGATTGAACTCATGGCTGCCACTGATTCAAGCTTGCTGGAAATGGTCTGCACATACATGTGTGTGTGCATGCTTTGTGGAACACAATTCATAGGGCATTACACACACTGTTCTTTCTGCATCTTGCTTTCTTCTCTTAGTGCTCTATTCTTTCTGTGTTTGCATGCCTTTAAGTCCTATTCCCACTTTTTAAAAGTTTTATTTATTTACGTTCTACACCCAGTGTGGGGCTCCAACTCATGCTCTTCTGACGGAGCCAGCCAGGTGCCCCATATTCTCACTTTTTAAACAACTTTTTCTTTTGAAATAATTTAAGACTCACAAGCAGTTGCAAAAACAGTACAGTGGGTTTCTGGGTACCATCACCCAGCTTCTCCTAGTGATACTATCTTAAATAATCATAGCACATTTTCAAAACCCAAAAACTCGACATTGGTACAGTTGTATAATAGTATAACTAAACTATAGACTTAATTCTGATTTCATCAATTTTTGTATGTGCTTTCTGGTTTGTTCAGTTCCCATTTAACACCATTCTACTTGGCTGTCTGGGCCTTCTCCACCATGTTACAGGGTAGGGTAAGTTGAGGGTCATGTGACATATCACACTGGCCCTGTCACTTGCCCAAAGTGACTTGGCCTTATGTCTCCTACGGGCCCCCCATGCATTCCGTCCCAGCTGCCCTCACCCTCCTTGCTGGCCGCGGACACCTCCAGACCTTTACCTAAATGTCACCCTCTCGGTAGGTCCTTTCCTGAGCAATTATACAACATCCCACCCACATGCCAGTCCCCACACACTACTTCTTCCTCACCTTCCCTGCTTTAAGTTTCTACAAAGCACAGATCATCACCTACCTAAGACACAGTGACCTACCTGTTCATTTGTCATTGCTTGCCTCCCCTCAGCTAGACTGTCAGCTCCTTTAGGGCAGGCATTTTGACTCTTTTGCTCATGGTTTTATTCTCAACACTCAGAGAAGTACCAGGCACATAGTAGGCGCTACTTGTTGAATGAGTGAATGAGTGGCCAAAAAGTGCCCAGCACAGTTCCTGACACCCAACATGTGCACTGGAAATGGGAGCCGTTGTTGCACTGCTGCTCTTGTATAAATTGAGACCAGTGATACCAGCCACCAGGCTTGCAGTGAGATTTAAATTAAGCCATGCATGTGGAAGGGGTGATAGAAACTGTAAAGTGCCATGCAAATAGGGGCTGAGAATTATTATCACAAAACTGTTTGTTGATAACCTGGAGACTTGGTTCATTTTTTGGACCAGTCCCTGGGACTCAACAGAGCTGTCTCCCCTGTCAGGGATACTCAGGCTATGTGATAGCCTATCACAGAGTAACTACAAGCAGACTAGTTTGCCCCTGACAGGATGCAAAGCTCGCACTCCGTGTTCTGCCCCACCAGATGCAAATGCTTGTGAAGGAGCACACAGGGTCTGCACTTGCCCCAGGACCCTCTCTCTGAGCCAGCCTCTTCCTCTAGTTACTGCTGGCCCCAGGACATTTGCCATGCCCTCCCAAGCTCCAACTGTCGGGAGAGAAAATATTCCATTGCTCTCCTCTGAAATGGACTTTCAAGGCCGCAGACAGTGTTGTGCCAATATATTTAATATTGCTACAGTTAAAAAGAACAAAGTGAAGAAACTCTCCTGGGAAGTGGGCTTGCTTGGCAGCCAGGTCTTTATGGGGGAGTAGTGTCCTGCTGGGGCTACCACATTCTGGGCTGTGATGCTCGGCATCCAAGTATACGGACAAACCCACTACTTGCTCTGATCTGTGAATCCACAGGGTTGTACCAAACTCCCAAGAAACCCATAGATGAATGTCGACCTACCAAGTTCCCCTCATCACACTGACAAGGGGAATGAGGAAAGGAAGAACACGTATGGAGAGGCTTCCCTGTAGCAGCAAAGAGATTTTCCCTGTGAGGTCACCAAGTCTTCTCACTTGAAGAAAGAGAATGATAAGGAAAGAGAAGACCCTCTCACTATCTATCACAGCTCATAAATGAGAGTATCTGAATCAGAACTCTGATCTGCTTGCTCCCAGCATTCACTCTCGGCTGTATCTCATGGTCTCTGTTGATCACAGTCTCCTCCTTTAGAAAATGCTGCCTGAGAAGCTGGGTGAATGCAGAATCAGAGCAATATTTGTGCACAGGTTAAGACAGAAGTAGGTTCTAATCCAAGTTCTCAAAAGACTGGCATGAAAAATAAATGAGAGACTGTGTCTCAAGATTCAGCCCAGAGCCTGATAAAGGGTGATGTCATTTATTTTTTATTTTTATTTTTTTAAAGATTTTATTTATTCATTTGACAGAGAGAGACACAGTGAGAGAGGGAACACAAGCAGGGGGAGTGGGAGAGGGAGAAGCAAGCTCCTCGCTGAGCCAGGAGCCCGATGTGGGGCTCGATCCCAGGACCCTGGGATCATGACCTGAGCCGAAGGCAGACGCTTAACCACTGAGCCACCCAGGCGCCCATGATGTCATCATTTTTTATAGAGGCAGGTAACGCCAAGCAACAGCAGCTTGCTGCATCCCTCCACCTCCACCCCCCACCCCCCGCCCCAGAGTCTGGTGGCCCAAGCCTCCTCTACTCTGGGAAGTGTTGGCAATGCTCTGCTGGATTTTGTCTCTGTGATGTACCATTTGCTTTCACACTGAGGGCGGTGCCACAGCCACAAGCACGAGGCCACACTTCACTGGGAACACACCCTTTCCGTCATGAGGTCCGTCTGCAGCTCGTGATTCTGGGGAAAAGGGAAGGTCGGAGCAGCTGCTTTCTATAAATGGATGATCTCAGTACATGTAGGTTTTTACTTGCTAATTTTCTCTCAGAAGTAGCTTCAATTTCACATTTTATGAGATACCATGTGACATCTTGTCATATCTACTGGGTAAACATCTTTCCTGATGATCCCCAAACATTGCTTCCCTGTAGTTCACAGATAGGCCTTTGAGAAAAGGTGGGCAAAGTATTGGCACATGCAGGAGTCTTGATACGTTGATTTGATAAATATTCATCGAGTGCCCATTCGGTGCCTTCTGATTGCACAGCAACTCCTTCCTTTCAAGTTCCAATCCAGGATTATTTTATTTTCAGAAATACAACTTCCCTTACTGTAACCCAGGGGGATTCACGTTTGCTAAATTGATAGGTGGTTGGTCTTTTAATTTAATTAACATAGACTCCTCCCTCCCATGGGAGACAGATGATACAGAAAAAACACTGCTTGGCCCTTTATGTGTATCTATTCTTTTTGCCAAGTCCATTTTACAAGTGAGCCTTTAAAATGTTTATTGTAATAAACTGTATTATGGCTTTTAAGCAGCAATGAGCAAGGCCTGAGACTGGGGGAAAATCCAGTGACTAGCTAGTAAACCGTAGAGTTCCATACACTGTCAGAGGGAAATGACTATAGTCTCAGGGAGCAGGGCAAAGGAGGGAGGAAGAATGAGGGTGGGTGCACCTCACATCATCAACTGAAATATAGAAATAGTGGGATGAGCCTACTTACCTCCCAGGGCTATTGTGAAGACTCAGGAAGTAACAGATGGCAAAGAGTGAACATAAAACACTCTATAAACTAGGTTTTCTATTCCCTGCTATAATTATGACAAAGAATGTTCAGGAGTTTTCTAGTGGACAACTACTGGTCTAATTTTTAATCTCTTGGGAAGAGCTGTCTTTGGAATAGGAAACACTGTTTTGCTAGCAGAGGCTCAGTCTTGCTGACATTTGATTGATCAGGTGGCAATGGGAGAGAACATGCTGTCCTCTCTCACCACCTAAAACCTGAAGACTGTTTTAAGATGGCCTTTACAAGCCAGGCTTTGAAATGGAATCTTCCTAATGGACATTGTTCCTATGGACAATTTCTCATGGAGCCCATAAAGCCAGGTAAGAGTGGTCATGGCACATTCCCCCCTGTGCCTCAGGTGTCCTCCTATCTTCTCAGTTGCTGTTTCTGGGAATTTGGGCTACTGTGGGAAGAGCTGCTACCTCACTGACTGCAGTTTGCCATGCAAAGGAGGGTGGACTCCAATAGGATGTCAGCCAGCGCATGAGCTCCTCAGCACCCCGTCTTCCACTGTGCCCATACTATCCCTGCCTGTCCATCAGCCCGCAAGCCCCCTGCCCCAGCTCTGCCCCCACAGAACTGCTCAGCATTCAGAGAGCCACACACAGCCAGCTGGCCCTCCTGTGGACTGATGCCTCATCAGGGTTGGGTTCCTAGGATTGGTGGAGCCCCCTCTCCACCAGTCTCCAAATCGAGTACTTGTTTCCTGTCAGTCACTCTCCCATCCTTTTCTAGAGCCCTCCCAGATTGTTATCACTTCTCTTAAACCTGCCATCCACCTGTGCCTCCTTGACACCCAGAAGATAATCTTGCTTCTTATCTCACAGAGAAGGGAGATGAGAACCGCCCCACCCGTCTATTCCATCAGCTCTCCCTCCAGCTCCCTGGCTCTACCAGAGGCGCCATCCGGATCCCATTCACCCCTACACATCTTCCCAGGGGCTTCCTCCTGCCTCCCTCATGACAGGTGGGCCTGAAAGGGCAGACGGAAAAATATCCTGTATATGAGAATTGTCAAGTTTCCAGCCAGGAAAGAACAATCCGCTCTGAAGAGCCACCCAACCCCGTCATTGTTTGATTTTAGAGTCTGCGGTGATACCCCATTGGCAAGACCAATTTCTGCACTAGTCAGGATCTTGTCATCTGTGTTAGAAAAATGGACTCAAATGAGCATCGGCAAAAGGACATGTTTTGGTTTCAAGTGTTCAGTCCAGAGGTGAAGAGGCTTCTGTATTTAGGATCTGAGACTGTCAGGCCTTACAGTTTTCACTCTCCAGAAACCAGAAAGATGGAGGCCGCCCCTAGTCCATGTATTAATTTATGCAAAATAAGTATTTCCATTTACTTCTACAGGACAATAAGACAAATTCACTTCCACGTGCCCAAAGATGCAACAGAGGCTGTCGCACAGCATTGGGAATGGTGAACCCCTCTCTACACCGGGCAAGGGCGGCAGGGGGACAGAGATTCTGCAGTGTCAAGGGAACCTCACAGTGGGATTGTGAAGCCACTAGAAGAACAGCAAGAACTGCCACAGCTGTGGGGTTCTGGGGCCACCCAGCAACACTAAACGCCATGAGCCATGTCTACTGTGGGCTGGTGTCAGAAGAATGTTCGAAGCTAAGGAGCCCAAAAAGACTGCTGGCAAATGGTCTTTTTCTTTTCCCCTGTAAGGCAATTAGAAAGCTTATCAGAGGAGGGTGAAAACAACAGATAAAACGCTGAAGCAAAGAGGTGGTGCTACAGCAAACAGGTCTGGGATTACCGAGAAACAAAACCAGGCTTTGTTCCAGACAGAGGGGTGCCCCAGGCATTCCCTGGGAGCCTCAGAACTCGTTTGTCAAGTGGATTAAAGGCTATTTAGTCAAGGATCATGTGTTTACAGTTTAGAGCAACTACGCAAAGACCCTGGAAGCCACTGCCTTCCTGACAGCCCCCTTTGCGAAGTTGGTCCTTGCCTTCTTCTGAAGATAAGGTGGTGACAATAAGGCTTTGGTGACAGGTAGCCTGTTCCTTCTTTCTGGGGTGCTATTCAAAATGTTGAACAATCAGCGTGACTCAACCACTGAGCCACGAGTATAGTTGCCAGCAGTCTGTGTGGGGTACCCTGCTGTGCCAGGTGTTACCTTTTCCGTTTCCAGGTCTGCTCAGGTGTGGAGGGGCCAAGATATTCTGTCTGCATGGTGCGTGGAGGCACTCCAGGGACTCAGGGCAGGGCCTTTTATCCTCCAGCACATCTGAAAGGCTGCACACTGGCATCACCAGCCCTGATGGTCTCTTGTCAAAGAGCACCTGCAAAGCAAATGTGGCCACCAGCACGAGAGAAGAAAGTCACCAGCAGCCTTCGCAGTCTCCTTGTGACTAGTGCTGTCCAGAATCCCCTCAGGACAGAGGGCTAAGAGGTCGGAGTAGAGTGGAACCAACACATCAGGCCTCTTACAACTGCCTGCATGTACCGCCTCCCCGAGTTTTCATTGCAACCCTGCAAAACAGGCATTTTCACTCCCATTTTATTGGCAGGATAACTGAGGTTTAGAAGGACGAAGAAATCTTTCTAGGTTCTCCTGGTGGTAAGAAAGAGGCAACATTTGAACCCAGGCCTGCTGACTCAGAGCCTGTGCTCTCTCTATAGTCTGACGCTGCACCCCACACGCATGTACCCGAGGGACCTGCAACAGCAGGATTCAAGTGAAAAGAACAAAAGCACCATGGAGCTGGAGCGCCAGGACAGCACTGCCACCTGGATGGGGCCTTCAGGCCAGGCTGTCCACTGCCCTCCTTCTCTCCCATCCTCCTCTCTTGACAATGTGTGTGAACCTCCCATGACCTTTGGCATTAGGGAATTCCAACCGAGCCTAACCAGCCTAATAACTTAGGATACAGCCCACCTGTTTTCATTTTTATTTTTCAAACCACCCTCCTTTAATAGGTGTTCACTATGAAAATAAATGCTTGTCACACAGTTACTAATCTGCCATGGTGGGCAAGGTAAAAAGGAACGTACTGCTAAATCCATGTGAGACCTAGGCAAGACGCCCACCCTCCCCAGGTCTTGTTACTAGGCAGAGAATGGCACTGGAAATGGGGAAGGGGAGGTAGGGGTCTCCATGCAGGAGAAGCAGTGCCCTGGCAATTAGTCATATGTGGACATGACCCTGAACAGACTGGCCAGCATCAGTGGCACGTGTTTTAGATGGTGGTCAGGGCTTACCTTCTGGAAAAGTCTGGGCCTTCACTCCTCAAGGCCAGTGGCCTGCAAATCTCAAGGAAAGTAGGTTAGTTCTGCTATAGACAAAGAGACTTAGGTCAGCAAGAAGGGAGCTTAGGTCAGCAAGCTGGGAGCACAGAAGCTTGAAGCAGTTTAACCCTTAACTCCTGATTGGAGTGCTGTTATAGTCTCAGATCCTCTTTGGCAAATGAGGGAGTCAGCTCTCTATTGGGGTGGCAAGCTCAAACGTTTACAGGAGCCAGACAGGTAACGTAACAAGCGAAGAAAAGACCACTTCCCCAAGCAAATTTGCTTTCTCTCATTTTTCTTGAAATGGATATCGCCTCTAGTCTATTTCACTTTATTTCAATTTTGACAGATACCTATGTATAACAAATACATTTTTGATGACCTTAAAAATAAACAGTTATTTTAGCAGCAAAAATGAGTTTATTCAAGAATAGCAGAGAACTGCAACGTGGGACAAGCAAGCTATGGCAAAAACCATAGGCTAGTCCAAGAAAGGAAAGGAATGTTATTTTCTGGAGAAGGAAGAGGAAGTTGGGAGGGGTTGTTTTGAAGGAAAGTCCACTGGAGTAAAGCAAGAGTACAGGGTGATGATGGTTTCTCATTGGCTTTGTTGCTGAAGAGATGTAATGTACATTTCTCCCGTTGGTGCTTATAACTGATGATTCTTTCCTGTTGACAATTCTGCTGGGGTCTGAAATGACAGTTTTTCCAGTAATTGATGCAGAGTGGTAGGGCTGGAGAGCTCCCCCTTCTGGTCTCCCAGCTCCATTTTAGTTAGGTTTCCCTTTATTAATTTTGTTTTTACTGTAAGAGGGAACTGGACGAATGTGATGATAAATGCCTGCTGCACTCAGCACAGATTTCAAAGACAATAGGAATGGTGGACATAGTGCTGGCCCAGGAAGAAAACTCTCACCCCTGGATTTCATACTTAGGCTCTTTCTAGAATGCTCTTCCCCCAGATATTCAGAGGCTTACTCCCTCACTGCAGGCCATAGCTCAGAATAGTCCTCTGCTTGCAACCTCTCCTTTCTTCCACACTGCTTTTTGCATTTCTTTTTTCTTTTAATTGAAATTCAATTAGCTAACATTAGTTTCTGATGTAATGTTCAATGATTCATCAGTTGCATATAACACCCAGTGCTCATCACATCACGTGCCCTTCTTAATGCCCATCACCCAGTTATCCCATCCCTGTACTCACCCACACTGCTTTTTATTCATAGCATTTACCACTACCTGATAATATTTTATGTGTTTGACAGAGAGAGAGAGAGACAGCAAGAGAGTGAACACAAGCAGGGGGAGTGGGAGAGGGAGAAGCAGGCTTCCCACCAAGCAGGGAGCCTGATGCGGGGCTCGATCCCAGGACCCTGGGACCATGACCTGAGCCCAAGGCAGACGCTTAACGACTGAGCCACCCAGGCGCCCCATGTGTTTGTTTATCACCTGCCTTGTCCATGTGCAAGTGGACAGTGCAAGTGCCATGAAGTGAAAACTGGACACATCTTGATCACTACTGTAATCCCAGCACCCAGAACAGTACTCAGCACATAGCAGGTACTCAACAACTATTTTTTTTTTAAGATTTATTTATTCGAGGCGGGGAGGGGCAGAGAGGGAGAGACAATCTAAGCAGACTCCCCGCTGAGTGCAGAGCCCGACTTGGGGTTCTATCTCATGACCCTGAGATTATGACCTGAGCCAAAATCAAGAGTCAGATGCTTAATGGACTGAGCCACCCAGGTGCCCCTCAACAAGTACTTTATTTTTTTTTAAGATTTTATTTATTTATTTGAGACAGAGAGAATGAGAGAGACAGAGAGCACATGAGAGGGGGGAGGGGCAGAGGGAGAAGCAGGCTCCATGCCCAGCAGGGAGCCCGATGCGGGACTTGATCCCGGGACTCCAGGATCATGACCTGAGCTGAAGGCAGTCGCTTAACCAACTGAGCGACCCAGGCGCCCCAACAAGTACTTTAAATCAATGAATGAATGAATATTAACAAGTTACTTTTGGGGTAAAGGGTTGGAACAGTGAGGGATGGAGGTTTCACTTTTCATTTTATACTTTCTGTACTATCTGAATTTTTCTAATCTCTTGCATATATTACTTTTTAAAAATACCAACATTGGGGGTACCTGGCTGGCTGTTGGTACAGCATGTGACTCTTGACCTTGGGGTCATGAATTTGAGTCTCATGTTGGGTGTAGAGATTACTTAAAAAAAAACCAATATAGGGCGCCTGGGTGGCTCAGTTGGTTAAGCGACTGCCTTCAGCTCAGGTCATGATCCCAGGGTCCTGGGATCGAGTCCCGCATTGGGCTCCCTGCTCTGCGGGGAGCCTGTTTCTCCCTCTCCCACTCCCCCTGCTTGTGTTCTCCCTCTCCCTCCCCCTGCTTGTCTCTCCCTGTCAAATAAATAAATAAAATCTTTAAAAAAAAAAAAAAAAAGAATCAAATCTAATTGCCAAGGTTGGGGTTAAAATGAGCCTCCTGCTATGATGCCCTGAGGACATTCCCTTGTGGAATTCCTGCCAAAAATGTGTATCTTTATCTAATCACAAGAAAACATCATGTGGACATATTTTACATAATAGTTGGCCCATACTCCTCAAAATATCAAGGCCATGAAAGATGAAGAAAGGCTGAAGAACTGTTTCAGATTAAAGGCAACTAAATAAACGTGATCCTACATCGGATCCTGGACTCAAATCTAGAATATCTAGACAACTGGTGAAATTCAAATATAGAGTGGATTAGACCATTATTTTATCAATGTTAAGTTTTCAGGATTTTGGGGTGCCTGACTGGTTCAGTCAGTGAAGCATGTGACTCTTGATCTCAGGGTAATAAGTTTGAGCCCTGCATTGGCTATAGAGATTACTTTAATCTTTTTTTTTTTAAAGTTTCAGGATTTTGATAAATGTACTGAGGTCATGTTTAAGAAAAAGGCCATTGTTCTCAGGAAATTCACACAATTATCCATGGAAAAAGAGGCATGATGAATGCACATTACTCTCAGATTGCTCAGACACAGAGAGAGGAAATGATAACTTGAATGGGGACATAATGTTAACAATTGGTGATTCTGGGTGAAGGGTATACAGGATTTTTTTTTCTTTTTTTAACTATTCTGGAACTTTTCTGTAAATGTGAAATTAAATCGGAATTAAGTTTTAAAAAGAGTCCTTTGTGGGGCGCCTGGGTGGCTCAGTCGTTAAGCGTCTGCCTTCGGCTCAGGTCATAATCCCAGGGTCCTGGGATCAAGCCCCACATCGGGCTCCCTGCTCGGCGGGAAGCCTGCTTCTCCCTCTCCCACTCCCCCTACTTGTGTTCCCTCTCTCACTGTGTCTCTGTCAAATAAATAAAATATTAAAAAAAAAAGAGTCCTTTGTAATGGTCAGTAAGCACATGAAAAGATGCTCAACATCTTTGTCATTAGAGAAATGTAAATCAAAGCCACAGTGAGATACCACTTCACACTCATTAGGATGGCTATAATCAAAAAGACAGATAAAAGCAAGTGTTGCCAAGAATAAGGAGACACAGAAACTGGATGTTTCTCAAAACATCCTTTTTCCTTAAAAAGTCAAACAGAGTTACCATTTAACCTAGCAATTCCACTCCTAGGTATATACCCAAGAGCATTAAAAAGAGGTACTCAGATATATACTTGTACATTACCATCTTTTTTTTTTTTAAGATTTATTTATTTATTTGACAGAGAGAGACACAGCAGGAGAGGGAACACAAGCAGGGGGAGTGGGAGAGGAAGAAGCAGGCCCCCCGTGGAGCAGGGAGCCTGATGTGGGGCTCGATCCCAGGACCCTGGGATCATGACCTGAGCCCAAGGCAGATGCTTAACGACTGAGCCACCCAGGCGCCCCTCCAACTTATCTCTTAACTTAGACAAAAGACCCTGTGGGCAAAGCATCCCCAGATGGAAACTGAACTACTCACTCAAGCAGTAAGGATGGTCCTGAGCTGAGAAGACCCTGCTTGATTGACCCCAAGACAACCTGACCATAACTGCCCAGCTGCATGCACCCAGTGACCTTTGCCCCACCTTTTCCTTATATAAACCTGGAAGTATATTTAGCACTTTGGAGACAGTCTTTTGAGACGCTAGTCTGCTGTCTTCCTGGTGTTGGCCTCACTAAATAAACTCCTTTCTTATTTCACCCCTGCTTGTCTTTCTGCCTGTGGATTTTGTCAGTGGCAACTGGCCGAACCTGGTCCTTTTGAGACCCTCTGGGACAGGTGCTCTTGCACCCCACGCAGCAGCTATAGATCAAAAGAGACCACATGGCCAGAGACAATGAGTGTCTCCCCAAGAACATGAGGAGACAGGAGTCTGAAAACCACATGGGCACCCGCTCCAAAATCTTGACTCTGTGTAATCCCTATAACCTAAGCATGCCCTGGAGAACAGGAAAAAATTCCCCAAAAGGGCTGAGATGAAATTATCTACCATCCCAGTGGGATGGGGACTTAAAATCAAAACTAAGTTGATGTGTGCAAAGTAACAAGATGCCCTTTCTTTTGCTCCTCATTTGGGGCACTGTAATATTGTGATTTATAATAAGAAATATATATTTGGTCTTTATCCCCACTCCTAGCACAGAGTTCGTAAAACCCTTGGGATTTCCTAAATGATAAGAGCAATGAAGGTGTCTTTTGTTATTCATAACAAGCCCCTTTCCACTACATCTATATTTATGTTAATGAGGAGACTTTTGAAAGCCCCTAAGTGTGGGGATTGATTGCTAGGGGAACCAACTTTGTTGTTAGAGGTTATTAGAGGCTTGACCTCAGGGGAAGGGAGGAGCTGGAGGTTGAATCAATCACCAATGGCCATGACTTAATCAACTATGCCTATGTGATAATGAAGCTTCCATAAAAGCCCAGGAATTGTGGGGGGGGGGACAGTTCTGAAAGCTTCTGGGTTGGTGCAGGGAGGTGCAGGGAGAGTGGCACCCAGAGAGGGCATGAGAAATCACGCCCTTCCCCACATACTTTGCCATATGCATTTCTTCTATCTGGCTGTTTCTGAATTATATCCTGCAAAGGTCAGTGGAACTACCCCAGGTCAGTGGGGTCACGCTCAAACTAGTCTGGGTGGTCTGGACCAGCAGAAGGTCTTGTCAGGGCAGTTACTATTGCTTGAGGGGTGCTTCAGTTTCCATTTGCGTGAGTTAAAAGATAAGCTGGAAAGAACTTAAAGAAAAATGTGGGCAAAGGTCAGTGAGTATAAGCAAGTGGGCAGTTAAGGTCAGGTCTTGGAGTCTAGCTGGTGACACAATGAACATGAGGGTACATATATCTTTATGAATTAGTGTCCACATTTTCTTCAGATAAATACTGAGATGTGGAATTTCTGGATATGTAGTTCTATTTTTAATTTTTGAGGAAATTCCATACTGTTTTCCATAGTGACTGCACCAAATTACATTCCAATCAACAGTGCACAAGAGTTCCCATTTCTCCATGTTCTCATCAGCCCTTGCTCTTTCTTGCTATTTTTTGTTTTTTATTTATTTTTAAAGATTTTATTTATTTTTTGACAGAGAGAGAGACAGCGAGAGAGGGAACACAAGCAGGAGTGGGAGAGAGAGAAGCAGGTTTCCGCTGAGCAGGGAGCCTGATGTGGGGGTTCGATCCCAGGACCCTGGGATCATGACCTGAGCTG